TAGCTGGGCTTGTCTCAGCTTGCCCGGACTATGCCTGAATGAGATTGACAAAGGGAACAGGATGGGTGTGTAATTATTTCTGAACTATTTAGGTAAGAGTTTATAGTTATTGTTACTTCACAATAATTCTCTAAAGGTGGAGGTTGGATGTCTAATAAGGGTAAAAATTAAGGGTGGCTTTTGGTGAAGTAATTTCTACTACAATGTCATTTGTAGTTACCTTCAAAAAAAAAAAAAAACAACTGGCTGCAGCCAGTGAATGATAGACCTTAGAATGTCGTGAGTTAAAAGTAAAACGCCTAACATCTAATCTGTAAATGATCTTGAATGAAAGTTATTATTATTTTACTTTTAGTTACACTTTTAGCTCATAGCTCCATGACTCTTGCCAAGACTACTTCCTCCTTCCGATCCTTACGGAAGCAAGACGGCCAAAGACCAACAGAAGGTTTGATCTGGAAAAGCTCATTATGGCGTTGCTCACTCCAAGTCGACTGCCAACTGGCATGAAGCCGCGCCTTGAAGACAGGACCGTAGTTCATGTATGGGACAGGCACGGCCGTGATGGCACCAGAGCAGACGGACTTAGCTGCGGTGTCAGCGAGCTCGTTACGTGAATACCGACGTGTCCAGGGATCCAGAAAAACTGGATGGAAATAGAAGATAGCGAAAAGTGGGCCAATCGGTGTTGAATATCGATGAGAACAGGGTGAGAACTAACGTTAAGCGATTCCAGGGCCAGTGGAGAGCTAAGAGAATCAGTGTAAACAGCACACGCTGGAAATGATTATCATCGGAAAGTTCGTGAGGCACCCAAACAACTTTATAGGAGTTTTCCTATATTCCTTAATGTTTACGTATTGCTTCACGAGAGGCTTGCAAAATTGAAGACATTTCACGAATATGTTGCCTTAGGTTAGACTCAATAAGCGTCTTTAGAGCATCAACGTCAATTCCAACATGTTGGCCCATGCCATCACAGTTTTTTAAGGCTAAAGTTACCTGAACTAAATTTGCTGAACCATCATTGAAACTTACGAACGTTGAAAACATTTCCATAAACTTTTTTGGAATCTAAGGGCTAAATCATCAGCAAAAATACTATAATTCGTGCCATTACTAATAAAGGAAGAACTAACGTCATTAATCATGAGATGGAACAAAATAGGGCTAATAACACTACCCTGGGTAGTTCCATTTTCTGAGACTTTTCCACAGAGACGACTTCATTGACTCTGACCTTAAAGGATCTGTTTGAAAGAAATTCTGTAATCAAGGTGAAGAGTTAGCCATCAAAACTGTAACTATTGAGTTTATATAACAATCTTTCTTTCCAGACCATATCGTATGCTGTTTCAATGTCCAAAAACAGACACTGCCTTACCTCTGTTGCACAATGATTTGTTGACATCTTCATGTAGCAGTAACAGATGATCAAGCTAGAATTCTTCCAATGGAAACCAGACAAACTTGTCAAAGTCTGCCAACTGTTTACATTGATATTTTGAAAATAATCGTTCGTTCCATAATTTTACACATAGTAGAAATAAGAGCAATTGGTCGATATGATGTAACAGAGCTTGGATCCTTATCTGGCTTAGGCAAACTATTGCGTGCTTCCAGGCTGAAGGAAGAGTTCCTTCATTCTATATCTTATTGAAGAATTCCAGCAGTTTTACCAAAAAATTTAGAGAAAGCTTTTTATAGATTTTATCAGGAATTCTATCGTCACCAGGGGCAGTTTTCAGACGTCTTTATTGCTTGTTTAACTTCACTGATATTGAACTTAGCATTCAACACATTACTATTATTTGGTTTCTTAGTAACAGTAGCAGAATTGTCATGTTCAAATAATGTCTTGTATTTCGAAAGTTCTGTTGAATAATTGCTAGAACTGCTGATGTGGGCAAGTTGATCAGCCAGCGCATTCGCCTTTTCAACATCCAAATATGATGATCCAGGAGTTTTAAGTGTAGAATTATGAATAGAACCCCCAGCCTTCATATGATTCGAATTTCCATATTTTACTTAAATCTGATGAATGGCTTAAACAAGAGAAGTACTCACGCCAGACTTGTTGTTGGAGTGCTCGAATCGTTCGTTGACAAATGTCCTTCTGCTTTTTATATTCAATCTAATCGTCTAAGACGTGTTTTGAAAGCGTTCTTCCTACACTTGTTTTTTAGTTTAACTGCTTTCTCACATTCTATATTCCAATAAGGGGTTTGATTTTTGCCACCGTCTGTGGTTGATTGTGGGATAAATTTATCTTCTCCTTCCAAAATAATATTTACTAGACGGGAATATACAGATTCGACAGAAGAAGACATCTATGTTTGAATGGATGAATCGAGGAACATACGGAAGTTGAACCAGTTTGCTTTGCTAAAGTTCCAGAAGGTCGTCGGACTCTTAACTTTAACAGATCTAATTACTGGGAGATGATCACTTCCCAGATCATCTATAACATCCCAGGTAGTAAGACTAGCAAGTTTACTATCTACAATTGTTAGATCAAGAGCAGAGGTTACCCCAAACATTACATGTCCCACGACCGTCATTTAACACTACTTTATCAGATTCCATAACTAGATCACCGAGAATCTGACCTCTATGGTCTAATTTTGTTCCACCCCATAAAGGGTTCTGAGCATTAAAATTTCCACAAATGATACTGTTTGGAAGAAAAAAAAACCCTCTATACTCATCAATGTCGACACCAGGATTAAATATTAAATATCGTTACTCTGCCCATAGAAGTCTCACATTGGACCCCAACAGCTTCTATACTTCCTGGGCAAGTAACGAAAGTAAAGAGCAAATGATTCTTGACAAGAGTAAGTACACCTTCCTTTGCCGAGTGTTCCCGATCTTTTCGAATTGGTTTATAACCGTGTATGCGGAATTTTAGATGGGGTTTGACAAACTATTCCTGAATACAAATAACATTGGGATTTATACAGCGAATTTCAAGGTAACGAATGGAGCATGAGCCTTAATGTCCCTAGCATTCCACTGTAATATTTGTAAAGAGCCTACTTATTTGTAGGTGAATTTGGTAGTTCATGAATTGATTCTGGATTAAAAATAAAAACCAAAAATGGTACTTGCCAAGTCGGTTATGAAATACCCCCGATTTTTTTGCAATTCTTATGCCAAAAGGACTGGTCTTGAGCAATCAAAATTATTTTGGCTAGAAAGTAACGATTTATTCAAATAGTTGAGGTGACGTACGAGGGCTATTATAAGCACAATCCTTCTGGGAAATGTTATCCGTCAGAAGGCCGGGGTTGCTGTGGTTCTTTAGGCAGACGTTTTGTTTCTACTGGTTTTCGTTTCTGAGCAACAATTTTAACTGCGTGGGCGTAGCTTCGTTTTGACTGTACTTTAACAGCCTGGACCTCCTTTTTCCTCTTAATTTTTCAGCCATTATATGTTTCCTAATGTTCACCCCCACATAGACAACATACTGGAGTCTGCTTAGTACAGTCCTTTACGTTGTGATTTTTGCCACACTTTGAACACCGAACATTACTGCGGCACATGTTTGCAATATGACCGTAACATTGGCACTTAAAGCATCGCGTCGGGTGGGAGATAAATTCTCGGACAGAAAAAGACAAAGCCGAGATGTACTCTCTTAGGTAGGGTTGTAGTCGAAAAATGGAGTATAACGGAACTTCTAGGTTCTTTAACTTTTAAGTCTTTATTGTAGCGCGTCATTCTTACTGCCTTCGTAACACCCTCCATGGTTGTACAGTCCTCTTCCGTAATGTCGAGGTGGACACCACGAATGATGCCCCTAACAAAAAGTGGGGAAACGTCTTGAATTTGGGAACGAATTTTGTATCCACAAATGTTTTTATTTCGACACTAATCTCGACTGAGAGTATGAACAAACTACCTTAATACGATCCGTTTGTAACTGAATCTTTTCAATAAGCCCAATTAGATCGTTAAAGGCTCTACTCAAAAGCATGGGATTTACCTTAGCTATATTGATGCCCGGGGAAGTAAAGAAGACTATTTGTTTTTGTGCTGAGTTGTCTTTTTGTGTCCGATAGATTCTTCACTAGAGCCAGAATCAGATCTTACTCTTACTTGAACAGTCCCTACCTAAATCCATGTCATTCGACTCACCCACGGTGCAGGAATCAGCCGAACCATTCACATACTGGCGAAGCTCGTCCGCTTCCTTCACCCCTCTCTCACCAGAACTTCTAACTCGCTCTCCGCTACTTGGCATACCACTCCCAGAATCATCTTTCTACGTAATCGAGATTGGAGTATACTACACTTTACACATTATATAGCCTACACCAACGTGACGTTTAGGCAGTTCGTTTAAGTATTATACGTGATGTAAATTTTTTGAGGGGTGGTTAATGAAAGTGTTTCAAAACGAGACATTTATTTCTTGACGACCTAATACTTAAATTGTTATATAATGCTGGTTCTATCGTATATGTGGAGGTTACAATTCATGCATGGTTTTAGACCTGTCGTATTTACTTGTGTATAATTGCTGAAAGTAACTGCTAAAGGTGCATATTTGAAGAAAAATTAAGATTACAACATAATACCGATAATTTGCGAACAATTGTGCTACGATCTATATAAAAAAAAAAAGAAAGAAAAAGTAAACAATGGGGGGGGGGGGACTCCGTATGTTTATGATTTTCTTGCTAAACCTGAACTGTACTAAAATACAATTTTGAATATAGCAAAGGGGAACTCCAAAAACGAAATGAACGTCATCAAAATGTGGAACTCTCGCTCATTCCTGCCATAACGTATTAGATGGTTAATGTGTGAACAAATAATAAACTGTTTTTCGGCTTATTTACCTGAAAATAGTACATTATGGCAAATAATCTTAATCTCCATATTGCAGAAATTGACAGTGAGACCTGTTGTCTGGAGTAGGTTTTGGTACTGATTTAGATGAGGAAAGCCTTGAAACTAAAGATTTTTTGACTGTCAAATTTTTAATATGCCTGTCACTGGGAAATTGTGGAATTAAGAGTTGTAAATATTGAATCCTCATTCCTATTGTTACCGATAAGCAAGTCCACTGTATTCAAATCTTCGTTATTCAGTGCTTCTAAGGAATTTATGGGAAGAAAGTCATCTCCGTAGGTTGGTGTAAAACTAACTGCAATTTCTTTTATCAGCTTACTTTCTTCTTTTATCAGCTTTTGAATACTCAATTTACGAAGACAGTGAACTACATTTTTTGGCTCGTTTATTAAAGATGTATTTTCATCAGCACATCCTAGAGACCTAGCAAACATTTCTCCTCTTACAATAATCAAGGTTGGGTTAGCATCTGTGAGTGGATGGTAAAAACTTCCACTTTGAAGTATAGCTCGATTAAACAGCCCACGACTCTGTGGTGACACTAAGTGCAGACTTACGGATACAGCTCCTGCACTTTCTCCAAATATCGTTATTTTATCAGGATCGCCTCCAAAGGCAAAAATATTATTTTTAACCCATAAAAGTGCAAGGTATTGATCATGCAAACCCATGTTTCCTGGTGCATCTTCCGTTCCTGCACTGAAAAATCCTAACACTCCAATTCTATAATTCATGGACACAACGATAACGTCCCCGAAAGCTGTTAGTGTTGTTCCGTCATAGATATCGTTGGTGGATGAGCCTGTGTTGAACCCTCCACCGTGAATCCAGACAAGAACAGGTTTAAGAGTTGGTGTTTTCGGTGCCCAGATATTGAGATACAAACAATCCTCACTTATCTCTTCTTGTCTTGACACCCACTGTACTTTTGGAAAAGCCTCGACATCTTGAACACATTGGGGTGACTTTTTTTGTAGCTACAAATACTCTAAACCAGGATGTAATTGGTTTGGCTTTTTTAAAGCGCAATTTTCCTATAGGCGCAGTAGCGTACGGGATTCCCAAAAAAGAGTGGATTTCTGTGAATGTGGTATCTGTATTTTGAACTAGCTTCCTTAGTCCTTCGATGCGACCACAAGGAGTATCAACAGCTGGAAGTAGGTTCCATGTGTGGCAACTAGAAGAACTTCATTTTGTCCATACATATTTGGTGAACTAACTGGAAAGTAATTCAACTGTACTTTAGAAGTCGTTTAACACGACGTTTTAAAATAATAATGATAATAATAATCTTTACTTTGGCAGCTTTATACACTTATCTGTAAGCCAAAGTAAGGACTAAATTTTATAAGCTTGATTGTGCTTTTTTCTTGTTTCGTTACCTTTGTAACAGGATCCCTAATTCATTTTAAGACAACTTTTAATACTCTTGTTTGTTTACTTGCGTTATACTTGTAAAGTACATACTTGAGAAACTCTCGCGTTTCTATCTATCGACATGTAGCGCCATCTGTTGAGTTGTATTTGGTTGAAAAGATATTGAAGTACATGCAAATGTTTACCATCTATAAGACATACATATATTTATCGGAATATCAAGAGCAAATACCCACAGACTAGTCAAGTAAGCTGGAGAAATCTTGTAGCGATAGTCCAAGCCGTTTAGGAGCTAGCCCCGCTGACGTGATTAGGTAGGTAGATAATAGACGCAAAGAAGATGCTGTTTTAGGAATTTTTGAATTGTTAGCAATCTCTTTAGAATATTATTAGTACATGTGGGCATAATATATCGTAACCAATACTTTGAATGGTCGCTTTTCGCTTAGGAATTCGATAGGGTGGGTTTTCGGCGAGTGCATTATTTGGAAACCTTGTCGATTCGTACTATCTTACAGTACTTGCAAACGCGTGCGCGTAAAACGTGTCCACTTAGTTGCGAATCGCTGGACTGATCGTCACCAAACCTGACATGTACCTTTATGGCCACCCGTGCGTTGAACGGATATGTTAGCTAGTATAGTGGTAAAAGATTAAACAGCATGATAACCCAAGTTAGTGTTCTTTCTGTTCAGAACCTCGTCATGTGGAAATTAGCCGATCAGTGAATATTTTACAATTGAAATGGATCTAAGCAGACATCTTTTATAAATCCATAGTGCTGGCAAATGAGGAAGTTGTAACTAAGTAATCCATCCAAGCGATGTTGATTAATTGTTTCAAGTCTCTTCTTAATATTATACAGTGTATGATAAATGGTCATCCACCTCGTTAAGAATACGGCTTGGCAATATCTGGTAAAAATAGCTCTTTCTGGAATACAGCAAACTGCTAATTTCAGCTTATGACTATTATATGCATTATCAACTAGCATTTGAAATTACAACTATTTCCGATGAAAGTAGATTCGTAGACATTTTATTTGTCATGCATAAAAGTTAAATTTTCGTAAAACGTCTCCATTTTTTTTGATATTTAAAACTTTCTTAAAATTGTTCACACGACTCTGCTATTTTAAAACATTTGGCGATTATACTTGCTCTTCAATTTGAAAAACTTACCACAGGGATAAATTAGTTTCCAAGAAATTATTTTACTTTAATCTTGCAGTACTGTAGGTTTACAAAAAGAAATGCAACATTTTTTCGGTCTTCTCTGGTACAAATCTAACTGTAAAACGTTTCATAGTCTGTAACCTGTAGTTTTTTTTTTTTTCGTCTTCTATTCTTTTAACGAAGTGTAAATTCCAATGGGCAATTATCCAGCCATTGCTTTTCATAGAGCCAATCTTTAGCCCAGAGCGACATCAAACAATTCCCCCCCCCCCAATTTAAGATGAAGTGACGAGTTTTCGAACTGCCAGTCCATATTCAGGTGAAGAAAGAGAACGGGCTAAAGTTTCAAGAAGGTGCAAGTAGTCTTTATTGCTCGTGTCAAAATGATGTTCGGATAGTTTTGAAAGCGTATGTGTTCTCAAATATTAGTTAGTTTGATTTACAGTGAAGCGAGTTCGAATTTCTATAATACCATGCAGTTGCCTATAATTGAAGGATATTTGGTACGAAGAAACTGTTGGTCTGTTCTAAATGCAAAGCTGCACAATGGACTACATGCAGCATTCCTCGTAGCAGAAACTGAAACCCAGATTTTAATAATCAACCAAGCCTACTATTCAGTTACAAAACGGTCCGGTGTGGCCAGGTGGTTAGGGCGCACAACTCTCAATCTGCGGGTCGCGGGTTCGAATCCCCGTCGCTCCAAACATGCTCGCCCTTTCAGCCGTGGGGGCGTTATAATGTGAAGGTCAATCCCACTACTCGTTGGTAAAAGAGTAGCCCAAGAGTTGGCGGTGGGTGATGATGACTAGCTGCCTTCCCTCTAATCTTACACTGCTAAATTAGGGACAGCTAGCGTAGATAGCCCTCGTGTAGCTTTGCACGAAATTCAAAACAAACAAACAGTTACAAAAAGGGCTAATCAAGCAAGTAAAGGATTGGTAACGGAGGTGCTTGCTCCTTACACTGACACTATTCAACAAAATAGATGACAAGATAGTTTAATTAATTACCAAAGTGACTGTATATTTGTAATGTGTGGAGCTTTCTCTGCACACCACACAATCTGGCGCATTCTATAATGCGTAATATAATTATGGTTTAGACTTGACAGAAAATGAAAGATTTGCAAACTAGGCCGCGAGAACGTGACAAGGGGTCAAATTTCGTGAGCATCAAGGTCAACTTTGCATTTCCGAAGTATGAACACAAAATTCCCAATGCTAACGCACACATTAAATTACTCTCATATGGATATCTCTTCAAGCATCAGTCCTGACACTACAACAAGCATAAAGTAGGCTAAACTCTATTAGGCCCACCACCGTTTTTGTTCACTTTTTGAGTTACTTGGAGACGGATACAACTTGGGTAAAACCGCAAATCGGTCTATTTAAGAACGTAACTGAATTTTCGAATATTCTAAAATAAATTTGGAATAACGCCATTCAGTCATGCGACAAGAACAACGATGTTACAGACTTCCGTTTAGAAATTTTTTTTTTTTCATTGCATTGTTTATATTTGTTTAGAATAATTCTGTACATTTATATTTTATGTAATGTATTGATAATGTTTGTTTCCGAGCAGTAAATCTACATTTCATAAATTAAAACTTGGATTTCAATGCGTAAAGATTAACAAACTCCTTTAAAACGAATCGGTTGCATGAGGACTATATTAATGTCGGTTTAGACGGCTATTTGTCTTAATATTTATAAATGCTACTTCTCATTCGTTAGGTTATGGTCCTGACTTCAAAGTCTTAATTTCACTCTCAAAGTGACGTTTTTAAAATCCGTACGGGCGTGAAACAAGAATGTGTAATTGCTTCAACTCACTTCAATCTTTGCTTGTCAGCAATCTTCTTTCTTGTACAAACTGACCTTCCTGTTGGCGTACAACTTAGTCATAGTTACGACAGCAGGTTTTCAACCTGCAACGGTTGAAGGCCAGAACCAAAGTTACCCGCATCGTCCTCAATGATCTTCAATACGTCGATGACTGTGTGATAATCGCCCATAATCCTATATTGACATACAAAGGACAATGGATCTTTACCTCAGTTTATAAGAAATTTGGGCTCTCCATGAATACGAAAAAAGCAACAATCACCTTTCAACTGAAACCTTCGAGACCAAACTTCAAACCTCCCTAACTTTTTGTCGATGGAGAACCACTGGAATGCGTGGATCACTTCACATATATTTGCAGTCATCTATCTTCGAACACCACCTTTGACAAGCAGGTTAGAAGCAGAATAAGCTGTGCTGGAAATGCTTCTTACAGATTAAGACAACGCATATTCGAACCAAGATGATGGTTTACAATGCGGTGGTCATCACTGTTCTCCAATATGACTGTGAAACATTGATAGTGTATAGAAGATACATCAAAGCCCTTGATGGATTCCATCCGAGATGCATCCGTCGAATCCTTGGAATCAAATGGAAGGACAGAAGGACCAACATCAGCTTCCTAGAAGAAGCCAATTCCACAGGCATTGAAGTCCGGCTGATCAAAGATCAAATTCATTTGGCCGGCCTGTCTCTGTATGCAGGAACATCGCCTTCCTCGTCAAGTTTTCTTCTCGTAACTTCGTCACGGCACTCGTTCTCGGGGTGGACAAATAAAAAGATGGAAGGATAACCTGAAATCCAAACTCAAAGTATCCACCAACCTCAACACATGGGAGGAGGATACGTCTGACCATTGGCGTCGTCTAATCCATCATGCGACAAACATTCAAAACTGATCGACGAGAAGCGATAACAGAGGAAAGAAGCTAAACCCTCTTTTGCGACTACGTCTTTCTCAGCACTGTATTTCGAATTGGGCTGTTCAGTCACATGAGAACACATTCAAAGTAGGAGACGTCGTCTTAGCTCGCGAAAGACTGCCGACGACTATAGCTTTGTGTTTACTCGATGTTATTTCAGATTTCACTGACGTTATGAAATTTGTTTAAATGTGGCTGTACGTTAAAAGCGAGAAGTAATATTCTAAACTTAAATATATCTAACACTTGTATTGTAAATTGTTCGTTCTGAAAAAGTTGGCGCTAAAAATGTTAATAGGAAATAAGTTTCTTAACTGCTAGTTGTATACTAGATTATGCGTAAAGAGCTATGGAAGTTGACATCGGTGATGGCTTAATTGCGTCTCGCTTAATGTGCGAATAATTGTGACTACTACGTATTAGATAATTGTATATTTCAGGGTTTGAAAAACGTTATTAAATAATAGGAAATTAGCGATAAATGTTTCCCATTTAACTTCCACGTTTGTTATTTTTTTAAACAATATCTTAATCTGGAACTTGCATGTCACTGTTAATGAGGCGTGCCTACAGTTGAGTAATATATAGTGACTATATAATATCGCTAACAAATTCCTGTACATTTAGCTTTTTTCCCCACAAGTTAACCTCGATGAGAATTAATAAATCTTTATCAGCAAAAAACTAGTTCAAGACCAATTTTGCAGAATTTCAAAAACCTTGAGACAAGTGTAC